CTCTTCCGATCTCAATTTCATGACAACATTTGATTAATATGAAAATTCTACAGTTTATATGTGCAAATTGAATATGGCACCTTGCGGACAACACAAAAGAGCAACACTGAATTGTTAAAACTAGGATAAAAGCCTATAAAAAGAATTATTCACTTTTAAAGATTTCATGTAGATTTGCATATCTACATGAAATATTTAAGGCGATGCTGGAAGATTGGAATTACCGACACATTGCAGTCGTAAAGATTTCTCCGAAATGATAGAACGGAATTGAAAATCCTTTTACAGGATTGAAATAGACATAAAATGTATTTGGGGGACGAAGGAATTTGTAGTAAAAACGAAAAAAATTAAGAAATTACATTTTTTCGGATCGTACAGCTATCACTTGACGTAAACATTTCATTAGTGTAGAAGTTCTGTAGTTCATATGTACAAAATGCTTACGTCCCCCAAGACGAATTACTTGCACGAATAATACAAGACCTTTTGAGCTACGATTGAAAGCCTAGGAAAAAAGAAATCCTTACGACTGCAAATTATGGTAATTCGTACGGTAAGGTAAAGACAGCGAAAATTGCGTCTAGCAGTAAGTGCCGGATTTTATAACAGATGGCACTTCAATAAGTTAGACATTGCACGTGTTTAAGTGAGACAAAAGAGATTATAAGAAGTTCATTTAGAGATACCACTGACACCGAAGAGTCTGTTTTATCGATCTCGTGCAAATTTTTCCGATTTTCCAGCATCGCCTTAAAAGTGAATAATTCTTTTTATAGGCTTTTATCCTAGTTTTAACAATTCAGTGTTGCTCTTTTGTGTTGTCCGCAGGGTGCCATATTCAATTTGCACATATAAACTGTAGAATTTTCATATTAATCAAATATTGTCATTGAATTGAGCAAACTGTTTTATCGACCTCGTATAAATTTGGCCGACCTTTCAGCATCCTCTTAAGGCGATCCTAAAGTCGTCTGTTTTATCTACCGAACGTGATTATTTTCCATGACAAAATAAACATAATTAAAGGCAATAGACTTAAAAATCCTTCTTCACGATTAAAGTATAGGCATCAATGTAGTTCCGGCTGGTAGAGTATGCTGAGAACGAAAAAAATTTTTTTAATTTAGATCTTCATTATCTTTTCTTAGTTTAACATGGCGTTTAGAGCTGTCAACATGTGCCAATATTTGCTTTGTACAAAAATTTGGCAGTTTGTTGGTACAAAATACCAGCCGGAACTATGAATTACATGTGTAAACAATGTTGAGTTCATAAAATTAGGTTTGGATATGCCTAATAAAAAAGATACATATTCTTGAAAATTTGTTACGATGTGTGCGATATCGATATGGTAGTAAACATAAACACATCATTACACACTATTACATCAATATCGCACGCATATATACTCACAAATTGTTAGTAAAACAGCGATTTTTAGAATTTGATTCCAGTTTAGGATCGCCTTAAGAAACAATATTTGTAATAAAATATGTTAAAATATTTTATTACAAATCTTGGAATGTATAGAAATAAAATTCTGATATAAAAGAAGTTATAAATGTTACAAATATCCACTCAGTAAAATCTACATGATTACGTGAAATCGTGTGTTGGATAAGATTTTCTAAAAATCAATAAATTAAATTTTTTATATATGATTTGCCCAAGACAAGAACAAAATAAAAATTCATCCCTTAATGTAAATCATAATAAAATTACATAAGTCGTATAAAATTTTAAAATGTAACCCACTTATTGTTATAAAATCCTTTAAAGATCTCTCCAATATAAATCTAATATGTAACCTTGCAAAAATACTTTTGCTCGATTTGCTTTGGCTTTAATTACGATATAATCTAGAGAGAAATATAAAGAAAAAAAAATAAAACAAGAAAATTTTATATTCAAATCAATTCGTAAAAGCGAATTGTTAACAAATTAATTTGAATTCATATTTACTAAATAAAGCATATATAAATTCTAAAACCTATAACACATAAATTCAAATTAATAAAAAAGTATTAGAAGTATTTTAGTTTGTTCTTTTTGAGAATTTTCTGTTTCATATTTTAACTATCTAAAACAATTAGAAAATTTTTTCTGACATATTTAATTTGTTTCTAGCTTTCTTCATTTTCTTCTTATGGCAACGTGCTTATAATTTATATTGAAAATTTCAATCTATAGTGTCCTTATATGTCATTCATCCCATAAACAGTTCTGTTTCATTTTAGAATAATACGAGAATATAAAACATTTCTTACATGTTTTAATGCCACATCGATAGGTGCTCGCTACCTTCTTGCCGTCCGACTTTCCTTTGCAAAATTTCAGACCGCATGGATACCAGCCAATGCACAATTCGAGGGAGCACGTGCAAGGTGCCCAGAGATTTGATGTGTCAGCACATTTTGAGACCAGCACCGACCTTGTGTCATTCACACCTGATTGTGGTACATTTGTGAAGTTATATACAGCTGCCATGAGTAACTCTTCGGAAGAACCTAATAATGCCATAAAGATTGATGTTATTAAAATGACTAACACTACTTATAGTAGTAATAAATTATTACTAATAATAATAATAATAAATACTTACTACAGTATACAATGTATGCATAATACTAATCATGTTTATTTCACAGACAATTACCTGGTCTTTGAATCCACTGTTTTATATCGTCGTTTCTGGTGTAAGTTAATCCAGCTGCCTCAGCGCAGAGCGTGGTAACATGCTTCGAGATCTCCTTGGACTGCGAAACGTCCAGGAACAAGTCCATTGTGTAATTGACATGACCTCTGTCCTCCTCCGCTACGCGCACGGTGCCCGGATTCTTCTGACGTAGTTTGGACATCGCGTCGGACGATATAAAATCTACCTTATAAAAATGATTCACAAAACACATGACTTGATACTGATTTTGTCCACGTTCTTCCTCGCCAAGTACCAGAGCTTTTATAACTTGTACCTCCTGCAAGAATCATATCGTTTGTAGAAATGAGTCGCGAAAAATCTTTTTCTTTTGTAAAAATTTACATACATTTTTGAAATCAATAAGTTGCGTGACTAGCGTGCCATCGGAACGTTGGAATTCGAGGGTGATCAGATCTTCCGTAACGTTAGACGAGATTGTTTCTAGGAGAATATCACCACCCTGCAAACAAAAGAGATCCGTCATTAGTGACAATAATGCAAAAACTTATTTCTACGTTCTATTTATTTACTGACATAAGGAAATGATATTCAATATGTGTTAAATTATGTTTGAGGTTAACTTAGAGAAATATATTTACGATCAGTATTTTACAAATTTTGACAAATTATAAATTAAGAGTGAAGCGAAGCTGATAACGGACACGCAAGTGATTACGTTCGTTCACCTGATTTTTGACGTTTATGAGCAAGTGTGTGGTGCATACGCCGTACAAGCACTGCAACACGATGCAGATCACGAGAAACTTGAGTCTCCTCATTGTCGCATTGTCAATCACTGTCGATTGCTCGCCTTCTCGTCCAACCCGACGGCAACGAGCCGATGTTCGCGTAGAAAAGAAAAAAAAGAGATTACTCCATCGAGTATTATAACCTAATGCGTCAAGTTACCCCGTTCCCTTTTTTCTCTTTCTCTCTCTCTCTCTCTTTCACTTCCTTCGACGGCCTACATCTCTGTCCACCATGTTTTCGGAGCTCCAGTGTAGCCAATTCTACGTTAAAAGAAAAATTCACTGATTATCTTTTTTATTTAAAAAAATTGAAACGAAATTCGAATCTTGCTTAGCCGCGAACTTGGATTCTAATGCGTAGCAAAAAATTACGAACAATTTGTCTGAGTGCACAGGAAATAATAATTTGATATCTATTTATGTCGAAAATTTTATGTAATTGTTATTAATGGACAAAAAAATTTATATATTGTGTGTAAATATAAATAAATATATAATATACATATATCGTATTAAACTAAGACGTGAATTGTAATTTTTAAACGTAATAAAATGTATATTAAAATGAGTTCCAAAAATTCGCAATATTAAATTGTAAAAATTGAGACTATCGAAATAAAGTACACTTAATATATTATAATTTATACTGCAGTCGCCAAACTAAATTGTCCGGACAATGCGTTAATATATCGATAATTTCTAAAAATTCAAAATAGAGCACTTTGTAAAAAATTATCTTAACGAGATTTTTAAAAAGCATTTTACAGCTTGAAATCTCCATTTTTTAAGTTGATACTTTAGAAAACGATTAACTGACTTTCTTCGAAGTCGCATTAATACGATATATAAAATGGAGATATAACAAATCGCAAAATTTTTTCCCAACTTTGCAAAGTTCCACGACCCGAAATAAAAATCGCACTAAAATGAGGTGTACAGTTTTTGAAAGGATGAATATTTGTCTTTAATTTGCTTTTTTGTTGATCGTTTTATTTTTTTTCATCAAGTTATTTTTAACTTTGAAGCAAAAATGATCTTT